TAATATATATGTAGAACAGTATGACCTTTAAGAAATTCTGAAGGCAAGCATTTAAAGAGCTCTGATCTCGGCAATATTGAAGAAGATAATAAGGCCTAATTATGGTAAAAAAATAGCGGCACAGCTTCTTAACGTAAGCGAAAGCGAGAGTATATAAGATATATATTGCTTACTTTGTTACCTATGTTTCCACCGTCACTATATGTATGGTTGTGCCAACAGAAAAGCTAGTACCATAAGCGACAAAAATGTCAGGATAAATAGTGGGATTAATTATCCATTGAATGGTATATGATTATTGAGTGTTTTGTGTAACTTTTCAAATAGGGCCTATTTTGCTGGCAAATCCACCCCCATCCTTTAGTAAAATTAAAATCAAGATAATGCGAAATTTATTAAGAAAATAAAATGATTGAACAAGATATAATATATTGAGCAATAGTTGATAACAGTCAATCTTTTCTTAGATACCTTTTATCGCGTTTTGAAATCAATATTTTTATTGTGATGAAAAAATTTTTTCTAACTGACATATCAAGAGAAAAAAATAGACAAACTGATTGACTCATTTCTATCATTTGAATATGATAAATACACTCATTGGTAGAAGTGATAATCAATAGTTTAGTAATAAATAATAAGAACAATCTTCTTTAATTCAAGTACTTAATTGTGTATGAAGATTCTCTTGTAAATGTTTATAATTTCATTCAACTTGATTGAAAACAATTTCATCAAAAATCATTTTCTTCTCGAGTTTCCTTCTTTTTATTGTTTCATTCACTATTCGAATTTAATCTCTATTTTATTAATATATTTATGTGTATGTTTCATTACCATTTCTCTTGCTTCTTCAACTATTTCTTGAAGTTTTTTTTAATTGAATCCTTTTTTTCATTGATTAATTTATTTGATTAGAAATTGTTTTTCTAGATTTATTATTTCTTCAATTAAATTTTTGTTGAAAAAGATTTCGTCTAACTGTTTACCAAGTTCTTGATGATGTTCTAATAAATGATGGTTACCAAAATTTTGTGAACATCCTTCACATTTATAAGCAGCTCGTTCTTTTCTACAGATTATACATTCGCTGTTCTCAATTGCTGCCACCAAGTTTTATTTGTGGTAAATGAAGAAATAAAAATGATGACATAAATGTTATTTTCTCATATCAATATGTAATTCAATATCATCTTATGACTATATTGAAGAGAAAGAAACACTTATAGTTAAATGATTCTCTACATTGGCAATAAGAATTCTATTTCACTATTCTATCAACTATAAAACTAATTTATTCATTTGTATTCTAATATATAAATATAATAAAGCGACATAAGACTAATCAATAATGATCATAGTCTTGAAAACAACATTGGATCATTTGATAAATGTCATTTTTTTCAATTTATTTATTCATTCACTAATGTTTTATTGAAAAAACGAAATATAATTATCAAAATTATTTCCATTGTAAATAGATATTATTATTTATACGTTTAATTGTAAAATCAACAAGTAATTGTTCATATTTATTTATTTCTTGTAAATATTCAATTGTTTGATAATTCGCTGCTGTTTCGTGAAAACATAATGAATGAAGATAATGATTATTCCTATGTGTTATTTCTTTGAGAATAATTTGTAAAAACATTTGAATATTCATATTAATGATATGCTTTACTTGGAAATGTTTTATATAATGGCAAACCATGATCAAAATACCAACGCAGTGTATATTGTTGAGCACTTCAACATAAACAGCATTAATTCGACTTCTTTTTGTACAAAAAATAGAAAATTCTTCCATGTTTAATCCTCTGTCTCCATCAAATAATAATGAATAAATTTTTAATGTTAATAAATCAGGTAATATGTTTATCATTCGGATTAATAAACAAATTGATGTTGGTATTTTATGAATATTTAAGTGATAAACTTGTGTGATTACTAAAATACGTTTTATGTTATTGATCATCATATCATCATATAATGTATTAAAACTAATCAATTTTAAAGATGTTGATGTTGAATATTGAATATTTTTATCTTCAAGTATATAATTATACCACATGTTTCTAGAAGAGAAATAAAATTTATTAATCTTATTTAGAAAATCTTCATCTATCTACCTATATGGATAAATCATATATTTGATATCTGTATTATCAATTTGTACGTTGAATATCCATCTATGTTGAATCCAAAATGATGATGAAAATTGATTTAAACCATAAGAATATGTTGAATATTGATTATCATTATTCATATGATCATAATATATGAAATAGAATATTTCTAATTGAGGATAATAATGTAAAATTAATTTTTCCCATCGATAAGCGTCAAGAAAAATAATATTATCTGAACAATGAATAGATAAGATTTTTAAATTTAAATATATTTCAGTTGAGAATATTTCTAAGTCATTAGATGTATTTATCATCTTATCATAATTAAATAAATAAAAATGAGTTTTAATTAGAAGTGATGAAGAATAAAGTAATTGTTTAAATCGAAAATTAAGATTAGAAAATGTTTTAACTATTTCACAACCATTCAAATAATCAAATATTTCATAAAAGATTTCATTTGATAAGTCTTCAATGCATGTTATTAATTGATCTATAATGAGAAAAATGTCAATAACATTAGTTCCATAAGATAAATAACTTACTTCGAAATTTTTTCGTTGGTTCCTCTAATAATTCATTGAAAACTAGTTTTCGTTTAAATTTATTCATATCTAATGTATTGATTTCTTCGACAAATATGTATTTTTGATTGTTTTGAATATATTGAATTGACCTTTATATAATGAACAGAGAAAAGAAGACAAGAGAAGAGAAATACAATGATAAGAATTAATTTCAGACGAAAAAGAAAATGTCAAAGGTCATTGAATGATTATATTATTAATTGGAAATAAATTGCTTCATCCGATACAATTGAATGAATATTTTCTCAGTCTATAGTTTAGATATTTCTATGAAATAATTTCTTATTAAGACGTGATCATAACAGAATAATGAAATGTATTGGAATAGTGGAAAAGTTTTACGAAAAAAAATAAGAAGAACAATGAGTTGAATTGTATAAACAACAGACAATTATTTATACTTGAGCATTTTGGAAAATTTTTCAACTATTCAATCATCTACTGTTGCAATATGAAGAGATAAAAAACGAACGTTGACAATTGTAATTATAATTTCTTTTACAAATACTTTCACATAAATATTATTTATAGTATTAATTTTTGTAAATAATTCATATAAGAAGAAAGTTTAAAAGAAGAATTATCTACTTCTCAAACAATATTAATAGTTTTCTTTTTCAGATAAATAATTTTGCAATTTTATTTACTTTTGATATTCTTAAGAAACTCGTTACTTTTTTTTAGCTAATTTTTTTGTCATGATGAAAATAAAGAATTAATTTCTATTGTTATACGTTAAAGTAATTGTGCCGATGAGCATACCACTCGTACATGATATTACTCTTACATGATATCATTCTAATGTTATATAATCGTTACGCTATATCA